AAAAACCCCCAGGGTAGGCCCTAAGTGCCAATCCATCGTACAATCCTCAATGCTAGCTGATGACGCGTCATCACCATATTAGGAAACTACCCTGTCCCCTTCACCCATATAAGGAAACTACCCTGTCCCCTTGAATCCAATACAAATCCGTTTGTTTTGAGAAGTTTTCCGTAAGGATTACAGCTATAAAAATAGTCAAGTGAATAGTTACAAGATAATTTTGCTGATGACTTTGCAAGCGAAGAATAATGAATGGTGCTTTTGGGCGGATAGCATGTAAATACAACTTAAACTGATCGATTTATCGTTAATTTTAAAAATTTGAATTTCGTTATTTACGTACGGATTAATTTCGAACTTCGTTTATTGGATATTCTTTTACAGAGATGAAGAACTTATTAGTAAGCATTTTACTTGTGACCCCGATGCGAGAGGGACGAAATTTTAGATGACGACACAGCTTGCATCAAGCTTTGGACGATTCAAAATGATCACGTGGTACAAATCCATCGATCCCATTGGCAGAGAGGTGGGCAACGCCCACTTAGGGCCTACCCTGGGGGTTTTTATGTTTGGCGGTTAAGTTAGAGAATCGCGTAGGAMTGKTGAWTACCAGWGTAAAATTCAAGATGGCGGTTAGTCGTAACTGTTACTATAAATATGGAAAGAAATGGACTCAGCAGACGATAAATTCATGTTTATTCATCACAAGCTTATTTGACTAGCAATAAAAAACTCAAGTAAGTAAATCTAGCGTGTTATTTTGTCCATGAACAAGAATTTCTCACGACTCAAAACAAGGAGTCTCCTAAAGCCCGTSATCAAACCATATATTCTTGATATTTAGCGTGCGATGATCGATTTGTACGGMTTCATCAAACATTTTGTTTTYATCATTTAAAAGAGAAATTCTCGTTTTTGGAACTCTTTACACATTTATTATTGTATGGATATAATTAATAAAAAAAACACAATTTCAAAAACTTTTATTATTCATTGCTCGACAATAAAATGCAAATTCTCCCAAGTATGTTTACTTTTAAGCGGGAAACCAATTTYACCGACGCGACTACAAA